GATAGATAGATAGATAGATAGATAGATAGATAGATAGATAGATAGATAGATGGATAGATACCGGTAGGTAGGTAAATACCAGTAGGTAGATAAGTAGGTAGGTAGATGATAAGGTGATAAACAGATATTTAGATAGATACAGGCAGGTAGGTAGATACTTGTAAGTAGGTAGGTTGATAGATGGTGAGAGAGCGAGGGACAGAGAGAGAGAGAGAGAGAGAGACACTTCCAAGGTTATGAACACTCCCAATGCAAAATCCACTGATCTTTCTCCTTCTGGCTGGGGAGGAAGCCCCAGCACTACTAGGGAACACGGTAGCAGAAAGGCTCCCCCACCTCCTCCCCATAAGCCCCCTGACTGAGCTCCCCCTCTTCCCCCAGCCCTTCTCCAGGCGTTTGCAAAAGGGAAAAGGGGCTCCTCGGCCGAGGCATCGGCCCATATGGCCCGTCCGGAGGCGGAGAGGCGCCGGGGCAGGGGAGCCGCGTCCTTCTTCCCCAGCTAGGCTGGTCAAACGGCGCCGCCTCCTCTTCCTCCGGGCCCCGCCAAGCGCGCTTACCGGGCTGAGGGGACGCGGAGAACGGAGCCCGATCGGCCCCTTTGCAGGCTTCCCACACCGCCTCTGGGCCGGGCGGGAACGAGAAGGCCTTCCTCGACTGGCGGCCTGCAGTAGAGCCGTTCCGGAGCAGGGAAGAAGCATGGGCGGGCAAAGGCGGAGCTCCGCGGCGGGCAACGCTGGGCTTCTGCGCAGGGCTGCGGGTCCGCCCCGGGGTCTTGCATCGGACGGGGCCGGTCACTTTGCAGGATCAATTGATCTCCTCCCGGATCTCAGGCGAGAACAGCTTTAGCCTTCATGAATATAGCAGGAATAGCAACACCCTATGATAGGCTCGAGATCCAGATGGATCTACATAAAAATGTTAAAATATTAAAAAAGATCCAGAGGGATCTAAATAAAAATGTTAAATGATTAAAAAAGATCCAGAGGGATCTAAATAAAAAGGATACATGATTAAAAAAAAAATCCAGAGGGATCTAAATAAAAATAAATGGTTTTTTAAAAAGATCCAGAGGGATCTAAATAAAAACAATAAATGATTAAAAAAGATCCAGAGGAATTAAAAGGATAAATGATTTTTAAAAAAGAATCTAGAGGGATCTAAATAAAAACGATAAATGATTAAAAAAAGATCCAGTGGGATCTAAATTAAAAAGATAAATGGTTTTTTAAAAAAAGATCTAGAGGTATCTAAAAAAGAATAAATGATTTAAAAAAAGATCCAGAGGGATCTTGTTGACAGACTTGAACAAATCCAATATAGGGAAAAGTAAAATCTTACACTCAGGCAAGAAAAATCAAATATGGATTGGGAGAAATCAGGCTCAATAGCAGTGACTGTGAGAGGGATCTTGAAGTCTTAGTGGACAACCAGCTAAATAAGAGCAGAATATAGCAACAGCCACAAAAACTAATGCAATCCTAAACTGCATTAACAGAGGGATACAATCGAGAGGGAGGTACTTAAACCACTCTATAAAGCCCTATAAAGCCTTAAGACCACGTCTAGAGTACTGCATCCAGTTTTGGTCACCACGTTATAAAAAAAGATGCTGACACTCTATTTAGAGTTGTGGCCACTTGGAGGTTTATCTGTGTCCTCAGGGTCAGCTGAGTAGTGCAAATGGTAGTGTAGTCTACCATTTCCCCCCCTGGAAATCTGTTTGTACTCCCACACCCTTTGAAGGGTGTCATCCCCAATTGTATAGCTAAAACCTCTGTAAAGATATTCAACCATCCAAGTCGTGGTTGTCCCAAAGGTGCTTTTCCCAAGTGACGAATAACAGAAGAGTTGGAAGGCACCTTGGAGGTCATCTAATCCAACTCCTGCACAAGCAGGAGACACTACACTGCTTCTGACAGATGGCAGTCCAGTCTCTTCTTGAAAGTTTCCACAACTTCTGAAGGCAACTTCTGTTCCATTGGTTGATTGTTCTCACTGTCAGAAAATTTCTCATTTCCAGGTTGAATCTCTCCTTGATCAGTTTCCATACATTATTCCTTGTCTGGCCCTCAGGTGCTTTAGAAAACAGATTGAACCCCCTCCTCTCTGTGGCAGCCCCTCAAATATTGGAAGACTGCTCTCCTGTCTCCCCTGGTCCTTCCCTTTCCTAGACTAGCCAGGCCCAGTTCCTGCAACTGTTCTTCATATGTTTTAGTCTCCAATCATCCCCTCATCATCTTGGTTCCTCTTTCTGGCACTTTCTAGGAGAAATTTCCTGACACAACAATCAATTTGTGGAACAACTTGCCTTCAGAAGTTGTGGGTACTTCCAAAACAGGAGGTTTTAAAGAGGAATTTGGAAAAGGAACGGTAAGCATTAAGAGTTAAATGTTGCTTCTGTGTACAAAGAAACAATCAGCATCTAAGCTTACACACTTAAATTTAGCCACAAAAGCAATCAAGATTTAGTTAGAAACAAAGTCAGAAACACTTGAGTTTAGAGAATTTGCCATGCATCCTAATTTCCACTGCAATAGGAAAATAATATGATCATCAAAGTTCAAAATCAAAAAGCCAAAAAGGAAATAGACAAAAACACCTTCTTGCTAGCAGTTAACACCCAGATGAGAATAGATTAAAATTAAGATTAACACTAGACCAATAATCAAGAAGTAAACAATACTCCAATCAAGGAACTATCAACACAGACAAACAAACAGTAAAAACAATCTAATAATGGAACCACCAAGAACACATCCGTCAACACTGACAGGTTAGCCTCTTTTACATAAACAGAGAGCAACCTCACCCACCTTTAGCACTGATGATATTACTCAGTTGGGTAATGAAATGTCTGCACGAAAGCCACCAAGCTCCGAGAGCACCAGGGACCTCACAATTTCCATATGAATCACATACAATTAACCAGCCTTTTCATTTTCTTTGGGTTCTTCATCTGAAATGCAATGAAGATCAGACTCTTCTAACTGTATTAAAATATCAGGGTGTTGGGAAATCATATATATATATATGTGTGTTTTGTTAAGTTTTCACGGGTACTTACGTACTCTGGTTGTGTCGGACACAACTGGAAGCCTGATGATGGCAGATGAGATTCTGCCAAAACGTTGCTACAACTTTAAAAGCACAACTACAATGACGTGGGAAAATACCCGAACAAAGCTGAATACCATACATGTAAGTACCCGTGAATACCATCTATCTATCTATCTATCTATCTATCTATCTATCTATCTATCTATCTATCTATCTATCTATCTATTTGCAGCTGGCAGAGTGAAGACAATTAGCAGTTCTATGTAATGGCCAGTGAAAAGATTGAAAAGCAGGTCACAAGGTAACCAATCTGGTTTGTTTTGTGACAATTGTTATAGTCACTAAGCAAACATTGTTCATTATAGGCTGATTTTGCCAAAAAACCAGAAATAAATGTTGGTTTTTGGCAAAACTGTCATAAATAGCTGTTACATTGACCCTGGGCCAGTCCTGTCGCAATCCAATTCAGCTCACAGGGTGGTTGTTGAGGGGAAAATAGGAAGAGGAACGAGTATTAGGTATATTTGCTGTCTTGATTTGCTTATAAAGTAATAAAGGTAAGATAAAAATCTAAAAACAATATGAGCGTTATCTTTCTTTCCAAGATCTTTTCGAAGTCCCTAGTGGGAAACTCCCTAACCTTAATCTGCAATGAATAATTCAATCAATCATTCAACAATCACAAAATAATTCATATTTAACTGACCTGGAAAAAGCATACACAAGAAAGGAAGGATAATACCAGTAGTCCTCAACTTACGACCATAGTTGAGCCCAAGGGTTTTGCTGCTAAGTGAGACAGTTGCCAAGTGAGCTTTATCCCATTTTGGGACCTTTTCTTGCCATCGTTGTTAAGTGAATCACTGCAGGTTTTAAGTTAGTAACTTAGTTGTTAAGTGAATCAGGCTGTCCCATTAAGTTTGCTTGTCGGAAGGTCACAAAAGGGGATCTCTGGACCCTGGGAGGTAGCAACCGTCATAAATATGAGCCAGTTGCCAAGGATGTGACCCTGGGGGTTGCTGAAAGGGTCATAAAATGTGAAAAACGGTCAGAAGTCACTTTTTCAGTGCCTCTGTAACTTCAAACGGTCACTAAATGAGCTGTTATAAAACAAGGGTTTCCTGTGGCTGTTTAATTTCCCTCCCTGCTCTTTTTTGCAAGGGTGGGCTGGACTAGAAGACTTCCAAGACTTCCTTTCCAGCTGTATTCTGAGTAATCAATGCACAGAGAATTCCGTCCTCCCCCCCCCCAAAAAAAGATGCAAACACTGGATGGACCGGCAAACCTGCCTCCGAGGGTGACGTCAACCCGCCTGAGCCTCCGTGTGGAGGGGGGAGGAGATAGTAGAAGGAAAGGCGTGGCTCCCTGAGGCTCGGCCCCTCCGGTTACCTAGCGACCTTCCCTCCGGCTCCGCCTCTCTCGGGGCGGCGCAACCGCGCAGGCGCGGCTGGGCGTGAGGCGGCCCCGGTGTCCCTTCTGGAGTTGGCGCCCGGCGTTGGCGGCCTGAGTCGGCGGGGAGGAGCTGGAGGGAGCTGCGCGTGTGGCTCCGGGCCAGGCGAGGTGGCCGGAGAGTGATGAGCTCCCGGAAAGGTACGGCTGGGGAGGGCCGGCGAAGGGTCCCTCCGGTCCCCGGAGAGATTCGGGTCGCCGGGCGGAGGCTCTAGACTAGTCGCGGGGGGGGGGGGGGGGGAAACGGGGGACATCCCTTGCATCGTCAAGCGGGCGCCCGCGTGCTGCCTGCCTCCAATAATTTGTATTTTGGTTTCTTTTCTTTTTCTTCTCCTCCCTTTTAACGTCCGGCAGTGCTGGCCTTGCAGGCCCGGAGGCGCCGCCCCAAGCACCCCGCAGCTCCCGGCAGGAAGGAGAAGCACCCACCGCATCACAAAAAGTGAGTATGGACCGGTGTGCTTGTGTTGTTGCGTTGTGCCAGGTTTGTCCCTAGGTGAATGGAGGAAGTGGGGGGGTGTCTCTTCGGTGCATTTGCATTTTGCACGCAAGAAACTTATCTTCATCCATCACCTTTCAGGATCTCACCCTCTTTCTATGGGACGTTTTTGTTCCGTGTCTTTGGGAATGCTGTTCGTTTTTCCGTGTTCAAGCCTCGTTTTGTGACAGTTGGAAAACGGGGTGCATCTGCCTTCCTTCTGGGTTTTTGCAGGAGTCCAGCTTGGGTGCTGACATTTCTTGACCCACAGGGTCGTCTTTTATTTTTTCTTTCCTCCTGGCATCTGTTTTTATTGCTGCATTTCGTTGCAAAGATATCTTTGATGTGCATGTGTGAATAGCGCTGGATAACTCCTCCAGCCTTTTCTGCTATTCCTGACACTGATTTTTATGCCCTAAGCATTTAATCTTCCTTCTCGGAGGGATTCCAACAAACACCTTCCTTATTTTGGCCTATAAAGCTGCCCCAATATAGCCTGGGGTTGAATTTTGAGGGAGGGGAAATGAATGGGAGCCAACAAGATCTGGTGATCTGATGCTTCCCCAAAAATCTTGCATCCAAATGTTGATGTGAATGGCCCTGGCTTGCTTCATGCAAGAGTGCTTGTCAAAGAAAATTGTTGATAACTGACTAGGTGAAAGGAAGCCCCAGTTTTGAGTTGTGCATCTTTCTATTTTTATTTATTTACTCTATTTTTCTTATTTTCATCTTTAAGTGCTTTGGTTTTATTGTATTGCAAATAGTTGCTGGGTGCATCCACAGTTTCATTGTACTTGTACAATGACAATAAAGTAGTTCTTCCTCTTCTTCTTCTTCTTCTTCTTCTTCTTCTTCTTCTTCTTCTTCTTCTTCTTCTTCTTCTTCTTCTTCTTCTTCTTCTTCTCCTCCTCCTCCTCCTCCTCCTCCTCCTCCTCCTCCTCCTCCTCCTCAATTGGGAAGATTTAGTGCACTTTTTTTAAAAGATGCCTTGTGGTCTGCTTAATTTAATGCTTTGTTTCCCAATATAGATTGGATTTTCCAAGTATATGATACTCCCGTTTTAAGATGCTTCAATCACAAGGTAGCTTTGATATAGAAATTTTTTGGCATCGCTGCCAGGGATCTGGTTGTCCCTGAAGGGTTGTATCATTTTAATGATTTAGGTGACATTATATAATATGCATTGCTAGTTCCTCCTTAGGATAAAGGACTCAAGCTAATTCCCCCCCACCCCCCTTGTTATATTAGTTTTCAGGGTTCTTTCTCTGCCTACAGAGAAGCATTGGGTGACAGGAGCCTTTGCTGCAAATTGTAGCAATGTAGCTGCTAAATCAAACATTTTTCAATTTCAGCCAGAACTACGCTACAGGCTATTTCCTGGGTGTTTTTAGGGAAATTGTGCTGGTGGCTTTGGACTTTTATTAAATACCTTGGCTTTTGGATTTAGTATTGTCCTTTTGTGTTGTCTTCCATGTTGTTTAGTCACTTTTTTTTGAAGTTCAGTTCATCACTTCAGTGTCTCGACACTGTCTAGTTATGATTGATTGATTGATTGATTGATTGATTGAATTAATGTCTGGCAGGGACACCATAAAGATAAACAATGTGAAAATCCTAAGAAGCCAAAAGTGGTTTTACTCAGTAAGAACGCATCTCAAGAAACAGAAATGTATCTATGATAAATTAGATTGTATTTTTCGGAAAACTCATTTGGCAATTGGCAAAGTTCTTTTGACTCCAGATTTTAATATCCAGATTTTAATAGTGACCAAGAGCATCATACTTCAGAAGTTAAGGCTGTTCCCTCATGTGTGATCAATCCTTATAGTAAGTCAGATCTGGCTGTAATGACAGGCTTGAGAGCTGCCATGTCTTCTGCTGTTTCTAAAAATGCTAAAAGGAATCCAGCCGGTTTAGAACTGGCAACCAAATAGTTCATCTGGATAAAAACACAAGAGGAAAAGTTATTGCTGACAAGGTTCTGATTTGATATTTCCCCCCTCCCTGGATTATCACCTGGATTAGAAATTGAATCACTTCCTGTTTTCTAGTGGAAAATTTGGTTTTCATACTTATCTTTATGTACAGCACCTTATCTAGCCTTATCTAAGCTGTCTCAGGCTTGGTTAGTATTGGATATGAAATTGCCATGGGATACCTGGGCATATTGGGAAATAAAAATAAAATAAACGGAGAGGAAAACAGCAGCCTAGTTTCCTACTGTAAGGAATTAAACCACACGGACATACCCACAAAGTACATAAAATCTAGGAGTAAGGTTTAATACTTTGTTTGCTTTACACTTGAGGATTATCCGTGATTATTTCTTCCAGCCTAGGGGAAATTTTCACATTGGCTACACCAAGACAATGTTCAATGCATAAGGCCACATAAGCTCATGAAAAATATTTAAGCCATTCGTGTGTTGTTAACTGCCTTCACTGATTTGAAGGTGTCCCTTGATTTAATATCCAGGAAAAAGAATTGGGACAAATTGATGACTATAATTGTCATCCCTGTTTACTTAGTCAAATTCTTAAGTTCCTTGACAATTACCATATGCAGGTAAGATATGCTACTTTTAGAGGTCTCCTCCCATCTTAAAATGAACCAGTGCTTGTTTCTTTTCTCTATACATTCAGCTCTGTGTTAATACTGTCCAGAAGTGAGTTTCATCCTTCATATTGAGCGATAAATCCATATCCATTTTTCTCATTGTGTGGATGCAGCTGTTTGTCATTGTTCCAAGTCAGCCTTCAGATGAGCCTCAGCAAGATTTTGTAAGGAATGAAAAATTGACATTAATTATTTGAAAACAAAAACAGGTCTTTTTCAACAAGAACTTTCAGCTGTCCTTATACCTGCCAGATAAATAAATTGTATGTATGCTGAGCAAGTCATTAGTTATATAGTTTCACCCCAATAGTTAACCGATGAAGGGAAAAAAATCACATTTAAGCATTTCCAATGCTATAATCCAGTTTGCTAGCTCCAGTAGCAACATGTTTGTCCCTAACTCAGTGACATTATTTAGTCCAAAGTGATGAAACTTCAGCTGTATTATTACAGGTAGACCTCAATTAAGCCCAACGTTTCTGTAGGTGAATTTTTTCTCATTTTACGACTTTTCATGCCACATTTGTTAAGTGAATCACTGCAGTTTGGTTAAATGAATCTGGATTTGCCATTGACTTTTGTCAGAAGGTTGCAAAAGGGAATCAATGGGACACTGCAGCTGTCATAAGTGTGAGTCAGTTCCCGAGCCCCTGACCCTGGGCATGCTGCCACAGTTGTAAGTGTGAAAAATGGTTGTAAGTCCCTTTTTCCGGTGCCGTAACTTTGAATGGTCCCTAAGCGAACCATTGTAAGTCAAGGACTACCTGTAAAGGGGGAGAAAAAAAAGCATTGGAAACAACTCCATCCAATTTCTTATGATTTATACAGCCGCCCAACTCACCCTTTGTGACTCTGGGCAGCTTTACAAAGACCTGATGCTGTTTTTCACTTGGAACTCAACCTTCCCTTTGTTGAAGCTGGTGGGATCACCTTCCAAGTAAAAACACTGGTTCAAATTAGGCAGCTCAGATAATTCTTGGAGGCGGTTAATCCTGCCTAAGATGTTTATTTCCTGCTGGAGATATACCATGGTCTTGAATAATTATGACCTGTCGGCCCGATTTTTTTCTCCCAAGCTAGTTAAAAGAATCTTTCTAGAGATAGCGAGCCCTTGACCTGGATTGCAGCTCTTTAATGGTAGATTTCTCCTAGATTTTTCTCTTCTCTCATTTTCATACGAGCATTTTTGCCCTGCACAGAAGAATGTTTGATATCTAAGAGAGCCACTCAATCTTGTTCAGTTCTGATAAGGAAACTTTGAAGTTTAACTTTGGCAATTCCTGCAGGATGATGTATTTCTGTCCAAATGATTGCTGGTATTCGGTCTAATAACATTCTAGCGTCTTTCTTTTTTTAAAAAAATGACCCTCTTTTCCTGTCTTTTGTTTGATATTTTGCTGTTTGATTATAAAGTAACCTGTTACAAATCTAGCTGACTTTTGCATATTATTAAATAGCGATAGAATAGCACTTGGACTTAAATATTGCTTTATAGTGCTGTACAGCCCTCTCTAAGCGGTTTTTACGGAGTCAGCATATTGCCCCATCTGGGTCTTCACAGATGGTTTAATATACTGTGTGTGTGTATGTGTGCGTGTGTATGTATGGTATTTAAGTTTCTTCGGGTATTTTCCCACGTCTTAATATTTGTGCTTTTAAAAATATAGCGACATTTCGGCAGAATCTCAGAATCCCTGCCATCCTCAGGCTGTGTGTCAGGCTTGGCAGCCGTTTATTGTTTTTTGTTTTGCAATTCTGCCTTATACTGTATGTTACAGTTGGGAAGTTGAGTTGGAAAAATGAATCTTGTTTGGGTAATCCTAAAACTGAATAATATATTATTTTCTGAATTGCACCTTGGCAGTTCTTATTTCTTTTCAACTCCAAGAAGCTAAATTATCTGAAACCGGATATGTTTCCCTGGAAGTAAATTGAGTTTTCATTTAAAGAAGGATTTTGTTTTCCAGTCTGCACTTTGTTCAGATATTTTATTTTTGGAGTCACACTCAATTGAACAGCCTAACCTGATTACATCTCTTGCTGCACTGTGCTATATATGAATGGTCCTTTTCACTTTTCTTTTTCATCAGCTGCTAGATAGATATTTCTTGTGTAAATTTCTGGCTACAAGCCAGAATTTTGATGACCCAATCAAGAATCTAAAAAGCTTTTTGCTATATGACCGCTTCAACAATCTTTTAGTGCAAGTCTGAAATGGTTAACAAAACAGCCTATTGGAATGCTCAATTCCCCAACAAAATATATACAATTTATTTAAAATGCAAAACAATACAATTCATCATCTGACTTGGCCTAAACATACGGACAGGACCACACTGATGAGTTAA